CTGTCCTTTTCCGAAGGCCTCTAAAAGTGGTTGCCAAAGAATTCCACATGGAAGCCAGAAAGATTTAGTGTGCCATTCACCTCTCCTATAAATCTAACTCGAGTTACTTCTAACTAGGACTCTGAACCAATCGCAGATTTATACTTGCCTGAAGACCACCCAGAGTATCTAAGGTTTTGCCCCTGGCAAGCAGGAGGGATCCTTCATCCCACCAAATTTTTCCAAATGATGCAAGAGTCGCAGAGAGAGAGGACAGAAGTGGTGTGCTGAGCGTGTGTGTGCCCGTTCACGGCCTTTCTGCAAACTCTACAACTCATTCCTCCTGTCCCCCACACAGTTGAACTGTATTAAAATACAATAAGTACAATACTTTGTACTTATTGAAGACTGTGTTTTTAAAATTAAGGATTCCACTGGTTGAAGGACAATCAGCCAGTATGTGACTGCTTCGGCAGTAACGCACTTTAAGATGGAGCGAACACATGGGTGCGAAATTCTGCAGCACGACAAAAAACACAGAGAGACCAGAGATGCGAGAGCATCACAGCCACTTGCTCTGTTCCCTTCCAAAGCCCAGCACCTAATATTGCATTCATCATTTCTGTGTCTTTCTTAAAGATGGTCCCCACCTCCTCTGCTGTCATGAGTTTCCAGGGACCACGAAACCTGGATCCATCTCTGGACAGGCTCTCTGTCTTTGAAGACAATCTGGTGGGGAGGCAGACGTGCAGATAATAATGATACAGTACGACAAATGCTCTCTAACAGTGTGACCAAGTGTCCATGTATCCTGGGAGCGCAAGTAAGAGTATAATCAACCCTGACTTGACTTCTCAGAGAATGAGTAAGAGTGTGACAGGCGGGGAGCGAGGGGAGAGATGGGGGAGAACATTCTAAGAAAGTGAGAGCAGCCTGGGCCCATGGTTCTTGAATGGGTTCTCAAATGGGGACCATTTCTCCCCTCCCCCAGGGGTCTTCAGCAGTACACGGAGACATTCTGGTTGAATAAATGGGAGTGGGGTGGTGCTACTGGCACCTGGGGGGTAGAAGCCCAAAATGCTGCTAAATATCCTACAATGTGCAGGATATAAGTGTGTGTGTGTATATATATATATATATATATGTCAAAGGTATAAAAGACATAATTGTATTTGGCTTAAAGTGAGAAGCTACCTGTAGCTTGGGCAAAGTGCTTTAAATGACTGCTTTTATGAAAGAGAAAAGCTGGTAAGAAAAGAGGGGAGGAAAAAATTACATTACTAAGGAGCCAAAAAATAAGGTCAAGCTGATCCCTTATTCTTACAACTGAAAGCACCAGCAACAAAGTTAGAAATGTAACTCGCATTGGACTCCTGGAAGCCTACGGTGTATTTCTTTGTCCTATGAAATGAAAGGCACCGCTCCCAGGGATGCTGTCCTCGGCTCAAGTCCACTCCAGAGCAGCGGCCTGCATTCCTCCCTTCACGTGGATGGCTGGGTGAGGAGTGAGGAGCACAGTGAGGACCAGGCATTCCACGTGGCTCACCCTGGCAGGACTCTTACTTCGACAGAGGACGGGGTGCAAAGCTGCTGTGAATACTGGAAACACTTGTGTACAGGAATGGCCTCAGTAAGGACAAAAGGAACCAGGGGGCTCCAAGTCCAAAAAGGAAGTGGCTACAAGGGAAACAGAATATGGTGGGGAGGCCACGGTCAGGGCTTCGAGTAGCCATCATTAAGGTTATTAGCAGGAACTAGGCCTGACGGTGAAGGCAGGAGGTGCTGGTGCAGGAATCTTACCCCTGCACGTAGATGCTTGAAAATGGAGTGAGGAGCTGACCACCACAGCCAAAACCACCAGCACCTCCACCTCCACCTCCTCCAAGAGTCCAAAGCACAGAACAAATCACCTCTAGCAAGAGACTTCTGGGAGGGAAAGGCAGCAGCCCTCAAGAGACTAGCAGTTGTGGACATAAAGGTAAGAAATAAAAACCGAAGCTCCTTCTTATAGGTACTAACTCACACTAATCCACATCACCCTTTAATCTTGCCTTATCCAGACTCACAAGCATAGACACCTACCTAAGTCAATTTTTAAGAACAGTAAGGCGAAAGTTGTATCAATTGTAGCAGATATCTAAAAATCAAGCTTCAGTTCCAATCAAAAAAAGAAGGCCAACATAGCAGCAAAATAAGATAATTCTAAATGGACAATCATAAAAGCTACAAAGCAAGAAAGGAAGCATTCCCTTTCTTCCTATGAAAAAAGGCTGTCCTTGGAATGTACTATGTGCCCCCCCATTAGGCTGGGTGCTGCTGTCAAAAAAATTAAAGGTTAGATAATCCCTGAAACAACTGTAGGTGGAGAGCAAAAGACAGGACATTCCAGACAGAGAGGGGCTGCCTTAGCTTGGGGAAGCCAGGGATGACCGAGTGCATGCACACCTATTACTGAGAGATGGAATATACTCAAATTTTGTCTAGATGCAACCATAAACATACACATGGTACAGCCTCACCACCCATGTTCCAGGAGATGAAAACACCTGCAGTGGGTTTCTGGAAAGTAAACCAAGTGTCCCAGGGTCACAACAGCTCAAGCAGCTAAACACTGAAAAAGTCTGCAGGGGTATCAGGGTGACCAGAAGTTCAGACTATCAAAGAGAAGACTGCTTTCCACCTGGGTTTTCAGGGTCTACAGCTGGAGAGGAGGACAGGGCACCGCTACCCTTCGCTGGGGTTGTGTTTACAGATACTGGGAATGGAGTGCTCCCAACTTAGAAGTCAATCATGAGCAATCATTGAATCTGTATAATTAGAACTGCAGCAAATTCTAAGAGCTGTCAAGTACTCACACAAAGGAGACACACACATGCACATCTGAATGCCCAGCATCTTGACTGACTTGGTAACTGGGTGTAAAGGTAGATCTAGAAACCTGGGCATTAGCCAAGGGTTGTGCTAATGAGAACTGGTGATTCCTCCTACAACTCCTTCCCCTCCAGATAATTTATTCGTTATCACCCAGAGCAGGCTTTCACTCCTCCACACATCTCTCTGCTCAAGCCACTTTACCCATCTGGAATGTTCTCCACCTAGACAAATCCTACCCACTCTTTGTAATGCAACTTCTCTCCTCCTCAAAAGTGTTCTAAGCCAGCCTAAAGCATCTCTCCCTCGTATGAACTTCCAGAACAATGAACCCATACAACTGCGTGGCAAAGAATCACCTAAGCTCTACAAAGCTTAATTAGATCTTCTAACTCTTCTATTGTTTTCTTCGCCTATTATTTAAACAACAGAAATTTTCACCTTTCTCCGTCTTCACTGACATGACCCCTCTTTGAGAGGCAAGGAGCACATCTTATAGTTCTCTGACTCTTCCCACCCTACTCCTAGAGCACCTCACACGATGTCAAATTAAAGTGCCAAGTTCTCTTCCCTGTGCATGGGAGTTAAGTTTGGCTCACATTAAAAATTGTTCTTAAGATTCAAACCTCACACTTAGACACTCTGTAACCAACGATACATGAAAGCAAAGGAGACTATATATGAGCACTGAAAAATCCTGAAGATCCTCATTATTTTACAGATGAAGAAACTCACACATGCTGACTGAGGTGTCTTTATAATAGGCTGGTGTAGAAAATCAGTTCTGTGCCCCTGGGTATATTCTCCAGGGTGCAAGGAAATCTGGCCAAGAGCAGATGAAGACTCTACGGGGTTTGCAATTGAAAAGATTAAAAAGTTTTAAAATGTAAAGCTCTGGCTGGTATGGCTAAGAGGATTGAGCGCCAACCTGCAGACCCAAAGGTTGCAGATTCAATTCTCAGTTAGGGCACTCACCTGGGTTGTGAGCCAGGTTTCTCTAGTTGGGGGTGAGGGAGAGGCAACCAATTGTTGTTTCTCTCCTTTCTCCCTCCTTTCTCCCTCTCTAAATATAAATAAATAAAATCTTTTTAAAAATTTAAATTGAGGCTAGCAGGGGTAATTAGTTAAGCACTTAAACCTAGATTATGATTTTCACTTTATAAGCGTATGGTGTGATATTTAGCTATAAGCCTAACCAGAAATGGGGCTAGAACTTTCAGGAAACACACACACACCGAAGCTCTGTTATTTTTGAAACTCTATTTACTGGATATTTTTTAACTACCTTAAAGCTCTGCTTACATATTACTCTATCAAAAGATAACTAATCACATGTAGAACACTTTCTACAATATATTCGTCTTTGGAAGCCTATTTGGGGCGTTGAGTTGTAACTGTGTTTTCAAGGATGTCAATAACACAAGGGCTCCATCCATAACTCCTTGAAAAAACTGAAACCATGAATGCCTTGTCAAATTCAGACAGTTTATCTTGGCACTGGCAAGCCGAGCAGTCTCTTCGATGTCTGGAAACGTGTCTAATTACGTTTAGAGAGTAACTAAAAAATAGCCAGTGTCCTGGAACAGACAGCTCAGGGATCTCTCCAAAGCATCCTGAGTGACGTGATGGAACCACGCCAGGCCGTGGGGGGAGGGGGAGAAGAAGGTAGAGAAAAAGAAAAGCAGCAAGTGTGGAATCGGGACGAGACCCTAGCCTCTCTGCTAAATAACCCTCCAGTCTTCCCAGAACTTCGGGGCCGCCACGATTCTTCCTAAAGTTAGTTTCCTTTACTTTTGTTTCCATTAGGTCACCCGGCCCGCCCACATCATTTACCTGGGGTAGCGCACTAGCCAGCTCTGCCCCGAGCGCTAACTCCAGCTCCGCACACCCCTTACACCTCCCCCGCACCATCCTCGAGTCCGGACAGCACCCCATCTCAGGAAGGCGCACCCCTCGAGCTCGGCACGCCCCTTACACCAGATGCGGCCGCGCCCCGGACGCCCTTTCTCGGGAAAGAGCCCGGGATACCCCATTCCGCTCGCACTCCAGCCCTCGAGCTCGGCGCGCCCCCGCACCCAGCCGCACCGCAGGGGCGCCCCCTCTCGGGAAAGCGAAGGCTCCGCCACTGCGCACCGCAGCTCCGCCCTCACCTGAGTCGGAGGTTGGCCATAAACTCGGGCATGGAGACAGTGTCCATCAGCACGAAGTCCGCCTTGCCGAACTCCAGGCTCTCCTGCTCCGCCATGGCGCCGGCTTACAAGCTCAGGTGGGCGCCGACTGGCTCAGGTGGGAGTGTTGGGGCCGCGGGGGCCGGTCCGGGGGCGCTCGGCGAGGTCGGGCGGGGCCGGGGCGGGGCGCGGGGCTGTGGGCTGCGGGGGCTCCTCCGGGCGCCGCTCGGCGGGTCTGGGCCGGACAGAGGCCGCCTCGCTGCTCCTCGGCGCGCTCTCGGTCGGCGCGGCACACCCGGCAGTTTCCGCTTCTCCCGCGGCAGCTGCCTGGCGCTGTGGGGGACGGGACACCGAGACGGAGACGGCGGCGGCTGGTCCCGCCTCTGGCCTTAGTCTGGCCACGGCCCCGCGGGCGCCCGCCCCGTCCCGCCCCGTCTCGCCCCGCCCCTGCCTCTCCGGCTCCGCCTCGCCCCGCCGACTGAGGAGCCCTTTCGCGGCGGCGCAGTCTTCAGCCTCCACACCTGGGCGGCGCGCTCACGCTGAATGGGCGGCGGGGACGCGCGCCGGGCCGGGCTCGGCGGCAGGGCTGCAGCGCCCTCTGGGGACTGGCGCTGGAATCTCTGGAGGGAGGTGCCGAGGAGTGTGGACGTAAGAGGGTGGGTGGGATCAGGTTTCCAGAGTTGCCCGCCTCCTGCTCTTGCTTGGTAAATGCCAACAAAGTTACGAAAGTAGCTTGCGGACCTTTTCACGAGGATAATTCATTATGATTCTGTCACCCAGCAGCGAAGCCCACTTCTGCCCCTCTGCTCACATGCTCTCCATCCCTGAAATGATGTTTCACGCTTAGACTGAGAGAATAATAATAGCTAACATATGGATGAAAATAAAAATGACCAGAGAACTTAAGTAACTTGCTACATGGCTAGGGAGTAAAGGAGCTGCATTTTCTTTCTCTCTTTCTTAAAACATTTTATTTATTTTTATAGAGGGCAGGGGAGGGAGAAAAAAAGAGAGAGAAATATCAGTGTGTGTGGTTGCCTCTCACCCGGCTGCCACTGGGGCCCTGGCCCGCAACCCAGGCATGTGCCCTGACCAGAATCAAACCAGGCATCCTTTGGTTCTCAGCTGGTGCTCAAGCCACTGAGCTGCAGCAGCCAGGCAGAAGCTGCATTTTCATCCAGGTCATTTGACTTATGAGCCCCAGCGTTTAGTCACATGGCACACTGCTTTCCTTTCCCAGTGTTCCATGATCCATTTTTCCCTTCCACTCATCCAAACATGTGGACAAACATCCTCTTATATTGTTATTACGTTTTTAATATATGCATGGATCATTTCCTTGGGATTATTGTAGGCTTCCTAAGCATGGGCCCATGCCCTAACCTTCCTTATATCCCCTTGGCACCTACCAAATAGCTATTGTACTGCTTTGCATGTGTAGATATGAAATCCACAATGGTTTGATGGAATGGAATAAGTTTCAGTGGTCTCCAATTTATAGATACAATGGTTGAGTTTGGAAAAATCTTTTGGAACTTAGACTGCATTTTCCCAATGAAAATATATTATAAATGGCTTTCTAAGGCAGCTCCTCTTCTGCCTTGTGCTTTTGTTAAGACCATCTTCTATTCCAAAATCTACTAGGAAATCTAGAAGCCCCTAAAGACCTGGATGGGCTCCAGTTCTATGGCTGAACTTGAGACGAGTAAACCTGCCTGAAGGACCCTGCTCAAGGCCTGCTTCAGCTGCCAGCAACCCACCCTGGACAAGAGAGAGGGGAAGGCAGCTTGATCACCTCCCGAGAGAGCACTTCTGCCATTGGAAAGGTTCCCCAACACCTCGCCCAGGTGGAGCTGCAGTCCACCCATCATCAGCAGCTCCCCTCTCCAGAAGATGCCTCTCTGGATCTCATTGCCCTCATTTGTGGAATAAGACCTCTGGGCTAGATGCTGTCCAAGGCAGGACTGTCTTTATTTGGGTCATTTGTGTGGATCAGTGGCTAAACAGGTAATTGCATAGATATGATATATTCATAAAGTGTTTGTATTGGTATGTTTTAATATAAGTAGAACTGAATTTCAAAAAGAAAAACAAGAAATCTCAAATTCTGTACAATTTGGAGCAACTGGGGACCACACTCAATGACCCATTAGTAAATGGATATGTGTAGATTTCGTGAGCCCTGGGTTGTTAGAACAAAAGTGGTTGTACACTTGGTATGATTTAAAGTGGTATACAGCTATAGTTTTTGAATGTCCAAAGCAAGGGAACCTTATTTCAATCAATATTCCATACAGGAGCCCAATGTATATAACACACAGAGAACATATGCAAAGGAGATTTCATAAGCCCAAATTAGTATAAAATCAGGCATTGAGACAAATAACATTTTTGGACTATAAGACGCACTCCCCCCAAATTTGGGAGGAAAGGTGGTGTGTCTTATAGTCTGAATGTCACTTACCTGGCTTGCTGTGTGTGTGTGGGGGGGGGTGGCCTATGTTATTTATGTTATTAAATATTTTACCACATTTTTTTGCTTCAAAAATTTTTTCCCTATTTTCTTCCTCTAAAACCTAGGTGCATCTTATAGCCCTAAAAATATGGCAAGTCTCTTTCAATGAACCCAGATCAGTTTAGTGGGATTCATTGTCACCTTACATCAGCCTTAGGATTCCAGTTTCCTTTTGTATGTTGTTTTGATTGTACAGTATCAAGAAAATTTTGATTTACATGGGTAAGCAGTCATTAATTACTTCTACAGTTTTACACCCAGCCTTTTTTAAAGGCCAAAACACAGCTACAATCTTATTAATCAATGGCTCATTTACAAGAAGTTCCAGTGCATGCAGAGATGGCAGGAGAAGCGAAGCACTGATGTCTCTCCATTTAAACAAGGTGATACAGGTCAGCTCAGTAACTTCCTCTGTGGTCAACTTTGAATATGGACACATTTAGATACTTATGTTTGTGTTACAGTTTAAAATTTACCAATAACCAAAATAGAAGTTAACATCACCAATCATGAGATACACTGATATCATGAGTGATGTGATCTCCTAAGGCAGATAAAACATCACTCACCTACTAGAAGTGCAGCTACTGAATCTAATCATGAAAAAAAAACTATCAAATACGCCTATACTAAGAGGCATTCTACAAAACAGCCTATCTACACTCTTCCAAAACGTCAATGGCATGAAGAACAAAGAAAGGCTGAGGCACTGGTCTAGGTTAAAGGACCCCAAAGAGACACTACAGTGAAAGGCAATGTGTGACCTGGACTGGATCTCAAAGTAGAAAAATGTACAGGGCATTATTAGGACAATTGGTGAAATTTGAATATAGAGTGTATGAGGTAATAGCATAGTTAGTATCACTGTTAGTTTTCTTGAATTTGATTGTTGTACTGCAGTTCTATAACAGAATGTCTTTGTTCTTAGGAGATAACCTCTCAGTATAAAGGGTACGATGTCTCAAATTGTTTGGCAAAGAAGATAATGTGTTGGATATGCAGAGGTAGATAGATATAATAGATTGAGCAAATGTAGCAAACTGTAAACAATTGGTGAGTATAGTTAAAAATATATATGGCAGCTTTGTTTACTATTTTTCTAACTTCTCTTTAAAATTGAAATTATTTCAAAATATAAATTTAAAAATCAAATAATGATCTAAAATTGTTCAAAAATAAAAAAAGTTTATTTTTAAGAAATCAAACAATACTTAAAAGTGGAGGTCACTTCAGAAGTTTACAGACCTTGCAGAACTGAAAAACCAGGACACACTTTGAAAACTCTGACACAGAATCTCTGTTAGCTCTGGTTGCCACTGCTGTGCTAGAAGACTGTAAACACTGAACAGATAACTGTAAAAACAAAAATGTTGCAATGTTTGCCTTACTTGACAAATACGACCATATGCCCCAAAGAGGCACTCTGCCTGAAATTCTTTCCTGTTGTTACCCTTCAACTCTGGGGCCTACCTAACTTCTTAGCTATCAGCCTCAACCTCACTTCCTCCAACAAGGCTTCTGTGATCTCTTTAAGTCAGGGTTGGCTGTCCCTCCTCTGTGCCCCGCAGCACCCTGGAGGTGCCATTCCTGTCACAGCACTGTTCCAACAGCACTATTACACTTGAGCCTCCTGTCCGTCTCTCAGACTGTAAGGGCCGTGAGGGCTGGCAGCTGTGTCTGTTGTGTTCTTGGATATAACTCCAGCAACTTAGTAGCACAGTGCCTAGGCTGAGATGCTCTTAGCAAATGCCCACTCCATAAATGAATAGGGAATGTTCTCCGAATCTATGGCTTATGTAATATGAGGTTGTAAATCCAGCCCCTTGGTCAGTTTTCCACATTAAAATCAGTCTTTGTGCAGCATTTATCTCATTCTCATCTGCCCCTGGAAGTCGGTCTCAGGGCTGCGTTCCCTTCTCCCCTGGGGCCAGGCCTGCCCACTTTGTGTTCACACTGAACAAAAGCTGTTGTTCGGAAAACTCTTCTGCGGTTGACAGCTGCTGTGGAGGATCTGCTCCGAGTTATCCATGAAAATCGACGCTGAATTTTCCACAGTAAATATTTGTTCCCATTCTCCTTTCCCAGCATCCTTCTGGGCCACCCCACCCTTCCTCTCTTCACCAGGTGCTCTGCATCCAGGAATACCCATTTCAGCATGAGTCCTGCCAGACACAGGCGGGAAGGCTGGGAGAAGCGGTCACACGGCATATTTAATAGGCCCCAGTTACTCTAGAGCAGAAGTAGAAAGGCAAATTTATGTTGCAAAATAACTTCATGATGCACTCACCACCACATAGCAAGGCTGTGGAACTCTCTGCCTTAGATCTTATTCAAAGCATACTTCCTCCTCTTTCGTGCCTATGGCTGGATTTGAACTAAGAATGATACATCAAAGATATGTTCTCTCTGGTTTCGGAAGCTTAAACGTTAAAGTAAAAACAGACCCAACAGTTGTCTCCTTGTTGTCGATGTCCTGTCCATCTGTGGAGTGCTGCCCCTGTCCTCACCCTTGCCTTTCACAGTACAGACATCTCCTGGGACAAAGGAAAGGGAGTTTTCATA